AACAAAACAAATATAAAAGTTAATAATTTTTCTCTTTAAAATATCCTGCATTTGTCTAATTCAAGTTAGTCAGAATCTATTAAAACTGCCGATCACACTGAAAGCATGAGCCCCAGTGGATTGCAGGGTTGAAGCTATAGTATTGCTAAATATTAAAACTAACAAAAGTCACAGAAAGGCAGGGATCTCCAAAAAGTGCTCAGTGTGGAACCACCACTTATTGTGAGTCAACGATTCTAGACAGTTGTCTCTTCAGGCAAGTTCATTCTGTAAACACACTGTACACTATAGAGCAAGGTTGGTTTTACTTAAAATTTCATTGGTTGTAAATTTTATCCAGTGTTATAATTAAAATTTCCTATATATTCACTTAGGAATCTCTGAAAGCTTTTCATTCTCAGGGTGTCCAGCAATTGCCTCCTCCTCCTCCACATGCATGCCTGTTCTTCCTATTCCCTCCTGGCACAACTTCTGCTGCTCGGCTATTCCACAACAATGCAAACTGACTGTTCGCCTCCAGCCCTCACCCACAAGAAACCTCTGTGAGTTTCAAGTGTACCATATTATTCATAGAAACCTCTCAACCCAGAAGATTAGTCCAACAAAACAGAACCTCCTCAGGACAAACACCTTGCCAATATAGAATTTGTATTTATTTATTTTAAAATTTATGTTAGTTTCAATGTGAGTGCTGGCTCCCATGTCCCTGTCCTCATGTTCTTCTCATAAGACTGAGAATTCCTGTGGTCTCCTGAGATCAGATTTTTTCACCAGATTGTATACCAGCTGTAGAGAAGAGATTGGAATTACTTATCAACTCACCAAACCTATGCTAGTCAGGCAAAAAACCCCACTTGCTACTAGCCGCCTTGTCCTTGAGCCTTGAGGAAGGGATTGGGAACACACCTGGTCACTGGGGAAATCGTGAGTAGAGAGAAACAGATGAGGAGGTTTGGAACCTGAGCCCGCTAATAATTACATGAGTGGTTGAGGCTTAGCACTTTTCACCTAGGGAATTCAGAGGATGTATTAAAGGAAATCCTGAATGTCCAGACAGAGGCTGCTGAAAGGCTGGAGCCAGAGAAACTTCTAAGGCAATGTTAAGTAGAAATGTGTGGTTGGGCTCTGCGGAGTATCCCCATGAGTGCACTGCATAACAAAGCGGTGGGAGCAAGGCTTCACCCCTCCAACATTCCAGAATTACTGTAATCAATAAACACCTTCAGCCAGGAAAAGCCACAGGCCTTAAGCTCCCAAACATGAAACTGGTGCTGTTTTGGTTTCTTACAACCTATGTATGGTATGCAAAGCGAGAAAATATGGAGTTATCAATGGAATGACAATGAGCAAAATCACCCAAAAATTGGCATGAGAACTCCAAAGTGTAAAGAGCTTTTCCAAATTTCAGGAATGAATAATTTAGAAAGATTGTGGTTCTTGATGGGATGCCTATCAGCTGAGAGACATGGCTTGAGAAAGCCTCTTTGATGGGGTTAAGGTGACCAACAAGCATTAGAATTTCAGTTAAGTGAATGTGTTAGAAAGTGTGCACAGATCCAAAAACACTGTTCTTCTCAAAATACTGTAACCAGTGAGCCATGACATTGTCCCAAGTTTTCCAAGAGTCATCTGAAATAAAAATGTACATCTACTGTAATTAGCTGATTAACTTTATACTAAAAACTGCAAAATAATTACATGTCTTTGTAAGAAGATAGTTCTAAAGTTACCAAAGTTTAAAAACATCATGCTATTTTCCTAAAATATTTTCAAAAAAGATGTTTGAAAGAGTTTTGAAAAGTGGATTTATTAGATGTATTACCTACCATTTTAATATTAATTTGGCAGTAATATGTAATGACTTTGGGATTTTTGTGTTTCATATTTGATAGTGTACCTTATTTTATGTATAAAATATAAAAATTAAGTATAACAAATTTATATTTGTATATTATATACAAATATATATATTTGTATATACAAATATATATTATACAAATATATATTATATATTGTATATATACAAATATATACCTATGTATATGCATACAATTACCTACTATACTATACATATGTATAAGTATATATATTCATACATATGTATATATATTTGTATATTCGTATAGCATATATTTAGGAATATAATAAAATCTGCTGTGAAGTTGGTGTTCAGAGGAATTAGTTCATTGTTTCTTTGATGTCCTGCCCTCCACAGTCCCCAAGGTCACTGGTGTTACAGGGCACACATAGAGGGTCAAGGCTGGACTCTCAGCTCTGGGGTTTTTCAAAACATTGTTATTTATTTACAACGTATGATTATCAAAAAAGTGCCAATATTTTCCAACGAGATGTACTGACTCCCTTCTCTAACTTCCCCCATGCTTACTTTCCAATTATTTCTCATGGTGGGGTACCCTTCCACCTCCCCACAGCCACCCCTCTCACAGGGATGCTTCCTTCCCAGGCTCCAGGAGCTCCTGGCCCTTGTGCGGCTGTAGGGAGCCTGTGGACTGCTAGTCATCCTGTCCAATGTGCTCACCTTCCAAGTTCATGTTCTTCCTAAAAGAGCTAGAAGGCACTAACTGTGGTCCACCTGTCACCTGCTCTTCTCTAGAGGCTGAAAGCTCTACTGCAGTCCACTACAGTATGTCTATAAATAGTTGTATTCCCCCATCCTTCCTAGCAAGGCAAATCCTTAGTTTTTGGTCCTACTGGGCAGAAGAAAACACACACACACACACACACACACACACACACACACACTTTCTTAACAGAACAGAGTAGGTAAGAATCTGTGGGAAAAAAATTCAATTATTTAACACTGATAAGAGATTTATTGTCTTTCTGGCCTGTGGATTTGTCTGGTTGACTAGGTAAAGCTAAGCAGAATGGATTTAAAGAGGTGATGGGTCCAGTCACCCAGCAGAGACGTGCGTCTGCATCACCACAGCTCCACACGGAGCTACAGTGGAGCTTCAGGCAGAAGACCTCCCATGTTAATATTCATCACAGATATGGATAATTAGAGATTGTCATGAATAGAAAACAGAATAATGTATAATGAATGCAATGACTCTGTTACTAGAGTAGTAAGTGATTCTAGGAAACTTATCATTAGTGTAGATATTAAGAGTTTATTTCTGACTAGTTGTGAGAATCTGCCTTTCTTCCCTTTTTATGAAGATAGAAACTATAATATATGTATTTTCAAAATAATAAATTAATAACCATAGTCCCTTCTCTGGAAGTTAATTACTAGAGAGTAGTAAAAAGTGATTTCTAGGAAGCTGTCATTAAATCATGAATGTTAAGAAGTTTATTTTCTGACTAGTTGTAGAATCTGCCTTTCTTCCCTTTAAAGACATGACTTCATAATATATGTATTTTCAAAATAATAAATTGTTCTATTCCTTCTCTAGGGAGGTAACCGTAAAACACACAAGTCAAATGTTGAAGCATATTCCTGTACATCTGTCAGCAGAGCGAAGGGTCTCTGATTATACTATTACCCCTACTACAACCTACTGTATGCAATATATTTTTGTAAGATTCAGAAATGGAATTGTTGTATATGACATGGGGTCTAATATCCAAGGCTGTGCATTAAAGTGCTTATATAAATAACATGAAGAATATAAGAACAAATCAAATACCATCTTATTACATTTTTAATTAGTGATAAATTACCCCAGTGCTCCACCTTCTTCCTTTCTTTTATGTACTTTCCTTTTTTATTCTTTATTTTCCCTCTAAGTCAAAAAAATTAACAATCTACCATTTGACGCCTTGAGAAGACCACCGTGCTATCTTTTTCACACTATCTCACCCTATCACTTATTTAAAATCTCCACTGCCCAACAGTTACATAACACCTTAACAATGGTTTTTTGTTTGTTTTTTGTTTTTTGTTTTTGTTTGTTTTTTTGAGATAGACCTCACTGTGTCACCCAGGCTGGAGTGCAGTGGTGTGATCTCAGCTCACTGCTACATCCTCTGCCTCCTGGGTTCAAGCAATTCTCCTGCCTCAGCCTTCCAGTAGCTAGGATTACAGGTAAAATGTCACCATGGCTGGCTAATTTTTGTATTTTTAGTGAGACAGGGTTTCACCATGTTGGCCAGGCTGGTCTCAAACTCCTGACTTCAGTCAATCCACCCACCTTGGCCTCCCAAAGTGCTGAGATTATAGTCGTGAGTCACTGTGCCAACACCTAACTTCCCTGCTTTCCCTCATTACATGAATGACGTCTGTGAATCCTAGAACCATGTAGAGCATGAAGAATTGGTGAAGATCTTTTATCAGCTGCAAATTATACAACAATGGGCTTCTTGCCTCCACCTCTTTCTTTGATTTTTTAATTTTTAAAAATTCTCTGCCTTGAATCTCCATATTACGGGAGTGAGGACAAACGCTCCATTCTACACACCCCAAGGCCTTTCTGGAGGCAAAAGCAGGATTTGGGGCATGAACAAACATGCAAGGAGAAGGAGGAAAAACATTTGAAATAATAAAAGATGCTGAATTGACAGGATCTAGCAAGCAATTCCATATGAAGGAGGTGAAATTGGCATCTGGACCACAAAGTTGATGAAATGGTTTGGTTTGATAAGGAGCTGGGCAGGTTTGGGAGAATGTGATATGAGCACAGATTTGAAACGTCTGCGAGGTGACATGGGCAGTATCCACAGCATGCCCCAGTGGTAGAAACATCAGGCCTGCACCGGAGGTTGCAGATTTGTGTGCGTGGACTACTCTGAAAGTGCCATGGAATCCCAGGAGAGGCAGAGCACAGGTTGACCATGCTGATTCCTGTCCTCAGCCTGCCAGAGAACAGGCTCTGGAGTAGAATCCAGCAGGAGGTTCAGCTCTGTCACCTCCTGACTCCATTAGCCTCATCCCTCTGGTATGGAGATCACGCTCAACATATCCTATGTTTCTTCTCCAAAAATAAATTAGGTCACTCAGTTACAAGGAAACTTACTATCACCATTAAAATATCGGAGATTTCTGTTGGAAGCCATCTATGGCTTTCATATCCCTCTGAAGTCAACTGAAATTCAAAACCTATCTAAATAAAAACTTTATTATTTTTAGATTGCATGGTGCCAGTTGTGAACCCACAAAGTATATTAGAAAGTAGGGTTTAGAGACAATACTTAAAATACTGGTAAGTTTTAAACAGTTATAAGAAGTCGTCTCTGAACACTCAAGTGGTCAATGAATATCACATGAAAAATAAGCAGAAATCCATTCCTGAATGTGCTTTACTGAAACTGCAAAACTGCAGACAAAGAAAATCTCAACGAAATAGAGAAGAAACAGAGCTGACATTGTACACACATGATAGAGGTCTGCTTAGAAGACCCATAAAGATCTAGAACTAAATTTAAATAACATTGAATTATGTATTAAGTTCAATAGATATTGTTGAATTCTATATCTCTTTAATAAACAATTCACAAGTAATGTTTGTTTCCAACATAATTCAAAGAGCAGGAATTGTCTAAATATAGCAATTTCACGTTTTAAAGGAAACAGATACAGGCTTGAGGTGTATCTCTGTAAATTCAGAGACTTTAAACATCAAGAAGATGTCCACTAATTGCTAATACATTGGATTAGATAAATCTGTGATTGAATAAATCACTCTGGTGATGGGCTGAGAGAGATAAAAACATTAACAAGTTAACAATTAATGAGTCTAGAGTAAAGGTGTTCACTACATTTTTCTTTTAACATTTCTATACATTAGAAAATCCATGAAAAAGGAAAAGCATGAAAGAGATTTAATATTTTCAGTATTCTATGGATAAATATTTGAAAATATATACATATGGTTTAATGGAGAATGTTTCACAAAATTAATGAAATATATATTAAAGAGCCACATTTAAATAGTTGGAAATTCATCATGGGTTGAAAATCTCAATATTGTCACAAAAGTCAGTTCTTTTCACATTGAACTTAGGTTTTCATTTACAATATCAACCAAAGACTAAAATGATGTTTAAAATTTCACATAAAAACAAAATAATCAAGAATAATCAAAATATTATCAAATAAAATAAAGAGTTAGAATAAAAGTTGTACCATTCTGGTAGCAAGACCTTTCATTATTTAGACAGTAAATAAGTCAATTGAAGACACAAAAGAAGGCAGGATATTATTTGTGAATGTTTCATTGTAAGTACGAACAAAAATCAAGATATGTGAGCAAATGTGAATGCTTTTCAATAATTGTTGGTGGAAACCCTTTGATATCAATTTAGAAATTCCATGTGTTTATATTTAAGATTTTATTATGCATTGAAAAAGAAATTCATTTGAATTTACAACTAATTTATAAGTAAAGAATTCCTCAATTTTGCAGAATTAACATGTTAAAAGATTATCAATTCCCAATATAAGAAAAAGACATGCCACTCATCAACCACAGGAAAGAAGCATGAATAATTTAGTACAGGAAAAATAACAACATTTGATCATGAAAACATAACTTCAGAGAAAATCACAACACAGATGCAATTTGGGAATCAGTACTTCAATAATACAGCTAAATCTCTAAAGGAGTAATACCTGGAATATATATATGTATATATAATATGTGTAATCTATCATATACATCTTGTTAACTATAATATATGTATCAACTCCATCATATAGATTAACCTCCATGTAATAATCCATCATATATTAATCAGTCATATCTATGAGATGAATTAATAAATACTCCCTCCAGTCATGTCCCTGTATCCACTTGCTTAGTTATATAGATTTCTAGCCTTCCAATAAGTGGTGGTGTCTGTGCCCATCCCATGATCTGGTCTGTCCACTTGCTTACATTAGTGGGTAAGATTTGCAGAAAGCAATGGTGTAGCAACCCTAGGCACCTGGGCGAAAGGTTTTGCGTGTCCCTCACTGCTGGGAATCGCCATATAGGCAGGAGTGAAGTCTGGACTGGATGGCTGGAGGGTTGGAACCCCATATGGAGGAAAATGTACCCAGACAAATGTCCCATTGACATCTTGAAGCAGAGCTGTGTGAGTTGTCCTGCAAACCGTGAGAGACAACCAGCCCAAGAGTCGAAGAACTTATCTAAGTTCAGGCTGAGGCCGTGCTAATTTTCTAACTAGAGAATCCTGAGCAAATAAGGGTTTTCATCTTACAAACCCTATATTTGAGAGTGATTTGTTTAATAACTCTATTTAATAGTATAATTATGGTCTCTTATACTTAAATAAAAGACAAGCAGCTAATAACGATCTAAGGAACATAGGCAGTACACAAACAGAAAATTCAAGTGATGATATAGACATTTAACTGAGTGTACAAAGAAATCGACAAAAATTCCACAGCGATTGGTAGACTAAAGAACACCTAATGCAACTCCTCATTTCAGAACATGAAGGGGAGATGGCAGGAAGGTGGCTTACGCCTGTAATACCACTTTAGGAGAGGGCCAAGGCAGGTAGATCGCCTGAGTTCACGGGAGTTTGGAGACAACTACAGCCAACATCGCGAAACACCCTCTCTACTAAAAGTTACAAAAATTAGCCAGGCGTGGTGGTAGGCTTATAATCCCAGCTACTCAGGAGGCTGAGGCAGGAGAATTATCCTGCCTGGGAGACAGAGCGAACTCTTATCTCAAAAATAACCCCCATCCTGGCCAACACAGTGAAATCCCATATCTATTAAATGCTGCTGTAAAGACACATACGTATATTTTATTGCGGCACTATTCACAATAGCACAGACCAGAATCTAGCCCAAATGTCCATCAGTGACAGACTGGATTAGAAAATGTGGCACATATACACCATGGAATACTATGCAGCCATAAAAGGATGAGTTTGTGTCCTTTGTAGGGACATGGATGCAGCTGGAAACCATCATTCTTATAAACCTGCAAAACAGAAAACCAAACACCTGTTCTCCCACTCATAGGTGGGAACTGAACAATGAATCACTTGGACTTGAGAGGGGAACATCCCCCACACACGGAGCCTATCATGGGGAGGGAGGGGAGGGGATTGCATTAGAGTTATACCTGATGTAAATAGCGAGTTGATGGGTTATACACAACATAGCACAAATATACGTGTCAACAAACCTGCCGTTATGCCCATGCCCTAGAACTCAAAGTATAATTAAAAAAAAATAAAAATAAAAAAGAAATTAATAAGCAAATTAAAAAAAAATAAAAAATTAGCCGGGAGCGGTGGCGAAGCCTTATAGTCAGCTACTCGGGAGGTTGAGGCAGGAGAATGGCGGGAACCCGGGAGGTGGAGCTTGCAGTAGGCTGGGAATCGTGCCTGTCTACACGCACCAGCCTGGGAGACCCAGCGAATTCCATCTCAAAAAGAAAAACAAACAACAACAACAACAACAAACACCAAACAAACAAAACATACAACATGAAAAAAATGATGTTCTTGGTGCAGGATGCAAATGGTGTCAACTTAAAAGCTGAAATTAAAAAATCTCCCATTTTCTTTTGGTCCCTCCTAATTCTCTCTCCTGTACCCATCTCCCGTGTTAAGAGTAGAAGAAACCATATGATGCAGAGTAGAAGAAACCCTTATGATGCACGCAAAGCGTTCATGTAGGAAATACAGGGAAATGGAGCTGGCCTAAGTGTGTCCTCAGAGCCTTACAAGAAGCACACGTGGGAAGCACACTGTGCAGCAGCCCTGAGGGCCACAGCCCAGCTCCTCACCTGCACGTTCTCTCTGATCCGCTGCTCGTTGTAGCTCTTGGCCAGGACCACAACCCCACGCTGCAGCTGGTAGCGCAGGGCAATCAGGGCTGGGGTTCGCTTGTGCTTTTTTGCCAAGGCACAAAGGACTGGGTCCTCCAAAAGAACCGGGGAGTTCTGGTCCACCCTGGAAGGAAAGGCGGAAATGCTGAAGCCCTGAAGCTGGGGATGCAGTTTGTTAAGCGGTTCCCTAAACAGACTAAGTTGTCCACTCTGCACCAGAGCTGCTCAAGCGAGGCCCCCAAGCACCACCATTAGCATCATCTGAGATCTCATCAGAAATGCAGTTCTCTCCTCTCTCTGAGCCACTTGAGACTACAGGAAACGGAGGATGCTCTGACTAAAACATTTTCTGCAAAATGGAGGTTTATGTAAAGGTCCCATTGTTTTTATTACCATCGTTTGTCTCGCTGAGATCCCAGAGCACTATAGGCAACCAGAACAATATCTTTTGACTTGCAGAAATCTAGCAATTTACTCTGGTTGAAATACGGATGACATTCTACCTGCAGTTGACCAAAAGAGAGAAGCATCAATTTATATGAAATAATTGTGTTAATGTAAAAAAGGTGAAAGTGAAGAAGCTGAATAATAATCAGTATAGTATTATATCTGAGCTAAGGATATTATTGTCAAGTAATAATCTTTTTCATAGAAATACATTTTATATCCATATCTCCTAAAAGTATAAATAGAAATGCCATTTCTGAACAGAAGTTCATCTATGAAGCAGATCCTGGCTTCCAAAGACCTTTGATAACTAGAAGGAGATGTAACAAATTCCATATCTGGGATACAGTAAGATTCTTAGAGCCTTTGGCATCAGATTGTGCCAGAAAGCAAGAATTTGGTCAAGGACTCATGGGGGCAAGTCTGAAAGACAAAAGCACTAATTTCAAAGAAATGTCACTGGTGATGTTTGGATAGATTTCAGCATCAAGAAAAAAATTGACCCATTGGGTAAGACTAAGTACTAACAAAAATTAATAAAATTAATTAAAAATCTTAAGGAAAAATGTCCAAGTCCATAGTAATGAGGGAGATATTGAGAGAGCAAGAAAGAACAAAATAATTTGCCTCTACCATTGGTGGTTATTACAGTAATTTCTTTATCAGGAAATTGATATTTAGAGGAAAGTATTAAACTTGTACTTTGTCTTTGAGGAATATTTGTTCTTCATTTTGATTTGGTGAAAGATTTTTTTTTTCATAGTAAAACGTCACATAAGAATAGTTAAATAAGTTTTTAAAATTGAAAATGATTATCTAAAAACTCCAAAAAATAATAAATACAATAATAACCATAAAATACAAAAATATTAGTGATGTATACACAATCATATGTGAAAATTTGTCATGGAATATGACTTCTTCTGTCGAGAATCATCACCCAGTGGATTATTAGTAATTGCTGAATGGAAAACATATGATTATAAAGAACAGATCATCTTACAACTCATTTCCATCCTGTTTTAAAAGGGAGTGCCATAAAAGACATTTCCATTAAACAATGGGAATTCAAATATCGACTGGATGTTAAACGACATGAGGGCATTGCAGTTAGTTTTCTTAAATACAATAATTATACTGTAACTGGAAGAATATCTTCAGTTCTGTGACATAATATTTAGGCCTGTAGAGGTAAATTGTCATCTTTCCAATTTATTTTGAAGAGGTTTTGAAAATATTATATGTATTTATGCAGATATACCCACATAAATATTTGCCATAAATATTTGGCAATGTGGCCAAGTGTTAACAATTTTGAATATAAATGATAATGTTGAATCGTGTATTACTTTTATCAAATTTTCTGAAAGTTTGAAAATTGTCATAATAAAAAATTGAAGGACTAATATTAAAACCACATTAATTTTCTTAATGTTTCTATTTTAATATGATGGAACTGTATCATTATGCCAAATTCACAAATTTTATATACTTCAAATTTCAATTGTAGATCTTTACTCATTGGTTTTAGGTTGTATAAAAGTAAGAATACAAAAGTGTAAATTAGTAAAAGGTAGAGTGACTTCAATTTTGAATTTTTTTGTGACATCTGGGGGAAGTCAATTTGATCAAGGAGTCCTGGAATCAACAATAATTCAGGGGGAAAAAAAGGACTTATTCCTAAGCTATGAAAAAACCATGCATAGGAGAGACGTGTTTAAACAATTGATAGGACGACAGACCCCAAAGAGAAGTAGCAGACTAAGATACGGGCAACGATAGGTCAGGTCTATGTTCTGCTAAAGTTACTCAGTGTTGATTTCATCCACTGTGAACAGTTATCTCCATAAACAGGTAATTTTTCTTTCTTTCTTTCTTTTTTTTGAGTGGAGTTTCACTCTTGTTGCCCAGGCTGGAGTGCAATAGCATGACCTTGGCTCACCACAATCTCTGCCTCCCGGCTTCAAGCGATTCTCCTGCCTCAGCCTCCCAAGTAGCTGGGATTACAGGTGTGTGCCACCACACCTAGCTAATTTTTTGTATTTTTAGTAGAGAAGGGATTTCTCCATGTTGGTCAGGCAGGTCTCGAACTCCTAACCTCAGGTGATTCGCCTGCCTTGGCCTCCCAAAGTGCTGGGATTACAGGCATGTGCCACCGCACCCAGCCTAATTTTTCGCTTTCTGACATGGATGACCTTCATTGTCTGCAGCTAATTTTTAGTATATCTATGCCCCTGGTCAAGAATTCTTGAAATATCAAGAAGAGGCATTCAGGCATCCAAATTCCATGTAAACTCCTAGTACCTCTCTTCTCTTATTCTAACTCTTTGTTTATGTACAGCTCATTTCATCTTTTCATAGCTTCATATCTATACACCATTCCCTCCAAATCACCTTCACCCATGAACTCTCTGATCATCTTTCATAGCTTAGAGGTAAGTCCACCTTTCCTTGAGTTCTAATTGATGATTCCAGGCCTCCTTGATCAAATGGACCTCCCCTAAATATTACACACCATTCGACATTAAACTCATTCCAATTTTTCCCTAATACTTTTCCAAGCAGGGTACAAATAAGAAATCTTCATGCCTTTCTTGACAGAAGCTTTGCTCTCTAGAATCTTCTGCTTCACAAAGATAAGTGGGACAAAACAAATAGATATTTGGCAATAGGACAGGAAGAGGGGCATGAAGAACCGAAAGGAGAGGAGGCCAAGGGAGCTCACCTGGTTGCAGACGGGCTTGTGCTTGAGTCCTGGCTTGTTGAGGATCATCTCCAGTTGCCTGTGGTTGAAGTTTGACACCCCGATGGACTTGGCCAAACCTGCATCCTTACACTTCTCCATGGCCTGGGGAGAAAGGGGTTGTGAGGAATTATTTGTGCAGTTGGCTTATCACGATAAATGCAAGACAGAAGTGTGAGAGCAACAACTTTCAAAATATGACAATGAAAATAGCTAGCAGTGATTGTCAAGAAGAGAAAAATTCAAATAGCAAATAGGGGAAGAAGATAGTGGCAGCAAGAGTAAGAATTTCTCTCTCTTCCTTAGGAAACTGGATAGATTAATGCACAGGCAAGGAAAGAGATTCCTGTTCTCCTTTCCCCCAAGTCTTGTGCCCCACTCTCTAAACATTCCTCTCATGTGTTTTTCCCGGGTCATCTCACCAAAACTACTCTTGTAGTTTCTGAATTTCTAGATCTAATGGTGCATTTTTCATTCTTTCCTATTGAATCTGGAAAACAGACTTTCTCTTTTTGTCTTCCTTCTCTGTGTTCTCTCCGCCAAGCACTCACCTCCCAAGTGGTACAGAGATCCACTATGTCAAATATTAGTTTTCCATTTTCATCTGTTGGTGAAAGTTCCTCACCTGGCTGAAATAGAAGCAGTCATTTTAATGATGTCACAAATTAATTTCCCCACCCATAGCTGTGATCCCAGATACCTTTAAGGACACTCATCCTCCATGAGACAGGTGGTACAATCCTCCAGAAAGTGATGTGTGCTATGTGTTTTACATATGAAGGTGTAAGGAATGTATATAGGAGACAAGCTTCCTCTAATCTCTTACAAATGTTATATGTATGGAAAAAGACCATTTTCTAGGTCTTAATCGAGTTTCATAGTTGACTTACGTCATTTCATTCTGCCTTTATAATTTCATCTGTTGAAGTACCTCTCTTTGATTTGGAAATACCTTGATATCCAAAAATAGTGGATAGTACTCTTGTACCTGGTGGGATTATCAGACTAACTGAAGATTTGATAGTCTATGGGCAGGACTGTGAATCATGCAGGGTCAGCAGAAGTTGGGAGACCCAGAGGAACTCTCTTAGGGTGATGAACATGAGCCTTGAACTGCTCCAAAGCCATAATCGCCACCAATGAAAAAGTTTGGGTCAACAATAATAAAAAAAAGTGTTGGAGTTTAGAGATAAGAATAGACAAATGATACATTTTTGTAGACTACTTCATATCCTTAAATGTAGCCATGTCTTTGACTTCCCATTTTACATAACTCAGTAAACTCTTTTGCATTAACTAGCCTGAGTAGTTTCCTGTAACTTTAAATCAAAAGTTATACATTACACAGTAATTCATGGCTAAATACAGCTTCAAACTCTATTGTGAAAGAAGAGGAGGCAGAATAATAAAGCTTTGCAAGTCCACAGTAAGGGTTTCTAATTTAAGAACCATGTATAGTGGCTTCTGCCAAATCTGCTTCAGCTTGAAATGGGGAGAGATGGTGGAAACTCATTGTGTACCACATGTGCAGCAGTTTTGTTGGGCATCACAACGCATGAAACTCTGTGTCTGTGAACCTCCCAAGAGATGGACTCAAAAGCCATAACTAAGACACTGCCTTGAAAAAGACTATTGTAATTTCCTCAAGTTTTCGAAGAAGAGGCTTTGAGGTTGCTGTACTCTTCTCTTGTAGGTGTGCATTAGAGAAGTAGGATTCAAAATTTACTCAAAAGAAAGGAAATTAGGTGTTATACTTACGGTTCTTCTTCCATGTAATAATCCCTACATCCTCCTAAGAAAAAGCTCTGTTCAACAGTCCATATAAACAATGTTTATAATGACAGCAGAAGTGAAATTTTATGCTCATACTCAAACTGTATACCTTTAGAGACACTGGAGAATGAATGAGATAGAGGTCAACATAGTCCAGTTGAGCTTTTTTCAGCGAGTTTTCCAAGGCCGGTCGGACCAACTCTGGTCGATGAAAAGTGGACCAAAGCTGCAGTGGTTAAAGAATGGAGGTGATTTTGAATGAATACTTGAACAAATCTTATTAGTTTCTGCCATCTAATATTTAGACATTTTCCTACTGCTTCAAAATTTGTGACCACTGGCAAACATATTCTCTTCCTTCTCATGATTCCTTTGGCTCTGACCTATCCTTATGAACTTTATTATATGTTGGATGTATAGTTTGTACATCTACTGAATAATAGGAGTAAATTCTTAAAATGTAAAAGTTAGTATCAAGTAACAACCATGCTGTTACCTGAATTATCTTCGGTAGAGTTTACAACTCATTTTAACAGTCCAATTCTTCTATCCGTTCAACCCAATGCTTAAGAATAGTTATTTATGTTGCTTAGAAACTAAAGCAACCTAAAAGGGGGGTAAAACAAGTTTTGAACATGTTCACTATGCTGGACACAATTTAGGACAATTTAAGTATCTATTATTTAATACTGCCCCAGCATTCTTATATTGCTTTCTATCTCACTGATAAAGATAGCAGTTGAGAGAATAATAAGAAATCTTAGAAAATTACCCAGGGGATAAGAAAAACCATAGCATGATTGTCGTTCTCTGTGATTCTATACCGCATGTCAAATCACACTGATGGCAGCTGGAGCTCAAAAAAGTAAAGGGACTTTCAGGTCATAAATTGGAACGCAGTCAAAATGAAAAGTGATCATCATTTCCTGAGTTTGATTTCAGTTTTAATATGCGAATGTGTGAAAATACATTTGAACCCAGAAGCAAAATTCACCCACAACTACTGATCCAGTCATAGAATTGTCATCTTCATGCAATCACATTAAATACATGTGCACACAAGCTCATCATAGGCACAGTACCTTCGAAGTGTAGAAGATATCTTCTCTCTTCACACTGCCGTCTGCAATCTTGCTTCGGATGGCCAGTCCAACCTGCTCCTCATTATTGTACAAATGAGCAGAATCTATATGGCGGAACCCAGCTTCTATTGCTAATTTTGTGACCTCCAAAGCTTTACTTCTGGGAACCTGGAGAAGGAACCAAAGGTACTATCTGGTAATCAGTGTGGCTGAGAGGTAGTTCAGGCACAAGCATTGACTTTTACAAGAATCAGCTTTTCCCCCTGTCTGTATGTTGGGTGAAAATCCTACCTCAGTTTGCCTGGGTCTTTCCTGGTTAGTAATAAAGGTTGAGCATCCCAGAAACACCTTCAGTCCCAGGAAATCTCTGGTTGATCACTATTATGGAGGTACCAAACAACATCCTCAGGTTCAGTGATTTGTTGGAAAAGTTAAAAGGACTCAAATAGTCCTAATTATTTTTTAATATTGTGATATTATACATGGTAAAAATCACACAGAGTATAGAAGGGAAACAGTTCAAGCTCATGTGAGTTCTCTCCCAGTGATATTACACAGAACGTTCACTCAGACTTCCTCCAACATCATATTTGGGAAATGCTGTCTACAAGAGATGTTATTTGGTGTCTCAGTTCTTGAGATTTTGACTGGGTGCTAGTTACACCGACCCGACTAGGGTTCACATGGGAAATAATGCATCTGTGAATAGTAGTCTATTATGTTAAGTCTTTTCTGCACAGCCATTCTGGCTACACAACAGAACTGAACGCTAGGAGTAAAGATGTATACTCTGAGGATATCGGTTTATACATTAAAAATTCACCGAAATCTGTAAGATTTTAGTAAGGTACCTTTCTGCCATAAAAAAACAAGGCTATTTCTTTCAGGAAAGATAGAATTCCAGTGAAATTTAAAATTACTGACTTATTGACCAAATTTGGATAAAGATTTGAAGGGTATTTTTTAATGACAAAAATATAAACTGTTTTCCATTTTTTCATGTATTTAAGAAGCTTTCTTTTTTCGTTGAAATTACAAGGAACTAGATACTAACTCAAAGGTTTACCAAGGCTGCCGCTTCAGTGGTGTCCTTATTTTCACTTCCAGACCATGCCAATTTATATTAAAAATTAAACCATTTTTGTCAGTGGTCTAGCAAATGTATCCTTGTAGATCATCACAACTTATCGATAAAGTGAGACTCAAATTTCGATAATTAGTCCCTACCACACACTTAGTAGCCTGAGGACAGTCTTGGGATACAAGTTTTCTTCCAGTAGTTTTATCTCGAAAATTAGGTATCCATTTTGTTCATTTTTGTGTCATAAGACCGCTCCTACCACTTTGATACGAATATGATGCATACAAAAAAGGACTAAGAATTTAGATTTTCCTTTGTTAGGTTCTAAATTTTACTTAAAATGAGGTTGTATTTTTTCTTTCAGGAAGTTTTTTTTTTAAGTGAAAGCAGTACAGTGGAAACTCTAGTCCAGGTCCAGTAATACTGGGTGATGCTCACTAACGCCCATCGGAATAATGATACTCTGCCAACAGTTTTGTAAACACTATATCCAGTAATTTTTACTATAAATATTTCTCTGGATCGTATGTTCTTGGAAGAAGGAAAGATTTCTTCAGTTATAAAAACAGAGAAATCACTCCTATTGCAATTAATTTCCACCAGAGGGAGCTGACGGACACTGTTCTTCAATGCTGAGTTTGACATATTCTGCCAAGCTGGGAAGTAGACACGAACAGAAGAAACAGTGCACAAACTAAAAATAAGCAGTACGTGACCATAGGAACGGACCTCAGTGCTGAACAAGGATTGACTACTTGTTTTCTTCTAGCCTAGGAAACCTAGACCTGTGAGTCATTCAGAGTAAGGCAGGAACACGAACCTTACAACCCAAGATGGGTTTCATATCTACTAGGTTTATTCTTTTGAAATCTCAAAACTAAAAGAAATTATTCTTACCTCTGGAGGTGCATAGGTGCCAAATCCCAATACAGGCATGAAGTGGCCATCATTTAGCTTCACACGCTGGTGTTTGGAATCCATTTCCTGTCACTTGTCTGACTAGCAAATGTTTGCTGTTTCTTCCCCTCAGAGATTACAAAAGCTATTGGCAGGAAATGGCCCCCTGCAAACGGACTAATGGTTAACCAATGACATGTAGGAGGAGGTACATAGGCAGTCTTATACCGTCTGTGGAGAAAATTTCATCCAGTTCACTTGTTTCTGATCAAAGATAATTCCTAAGTAAATTATTATAATATATGGTTATAAACATTAATTTTTATCTGAAGTATTTTCTATTTGAAATCTCTATATTAAATTATTAAAAAATATTTATAGAACAAATAGCAACCATATGTTAGACTATAAAAACTTCCAGCTACAAATACCTTTTTTGTTTATGCCATGATAATGCCCCTTCTTTATATTGCATCATTTGAAATAATTAACCATCTTACATCTTTCTCTCACATACACATAATTTAAAGGAATGACTAATGAAAATTTAAAAAATTATTGGCCCTCAATAAAAACTTAAAGTTAAAACTGTAAAAATATTTCCCATTTTACATTTTCAATCAGAAAATTTATTTTGATTTTTCTTTCTTTGCATTGTAAGAGAAAGATTCATTTCTGATAAAGGTGCAGTCCTGATAAAGCTGTAATCCTGATGAGGGTGCAAATGAAAAAGAAATTCTATGCAGTTTTTCTTGGAGTGTTAATTATTAACAGTTTTTGGAGTTTGGACATCATTTAATATATGCAAGCAGTGCCTTAATAGTATTTGTTCTTCAACCAGGTTTATTAGAGACTATCATGAAGTAACTAGCCAAAAAACTGATAACTATTTTATATAATTTTCCATCTTGTTAAACATTATTTGTAAAGAAAAACTGGAAATTAATTATATATAAATGCATGAATAATTTTCATATGGGATAGTTTTCACTTGTTCCTTTGGAGGGCAGATTAGAACACGACGAATGTAGTTTGCACAATACATTATCAACATCTTGGAGCTGGCAGAACTTTCAATGCCCTGATTGTTTCTATTTACTTTTCCTCAAACAATAACCAAAAAGTAAGTTGTGAAATAGGTAAATTATTATACATTGATACAATATAATATAAAATCATTGAAAGCTTTTCAGCAACATGGTGGATCAAAAGGCCCCTACTTGTCTCATGGATGCATCAAGAAGTAATCTGAAATTGACTAAAATAAACTTATTTATTTATGGGGGGGCTGAGTAGAAATGTAGTTTGATGCCAAGGGTAAGAGATTAGGTGAAGAGACGTGGAATAGTCCATCTAACCCATTGAGGGGAAGCTAGGGTGTGAATTTTTGAAACAGTAAGCTATTCAAAAGCCAGTAGGTATTTGGGGAACTAATAAAGGGCACACACAATCCAGGCAGATACATGTTCAGAAAAGAGCAGACAAGGCCTTAGGGTTTTATGTTGGGCTTATGCTAAGACTAAGAACATACCAAGCATATTAGTTGATAATCATCATGACACAGAACAAATCTATATAGAGTGGGAAAAATGTCTATTTTTTGAAATGTGCAATTAAATAAAGTAACAAGGTATACAAAGAAGCTGGAAAACACAATCCATTATAAGAAAGAAAATGAACTGACAGAAATTATTCTTGAAGAGCACTGAAATTAGTAGAGAAAGGTTTTTAAACAGGTGTCTTAAATATGATAAAATTTCCAATTAAAATATGGAAATAGAACTATAGGAAATTGGGAAAAGCATATATGGAAAAATGAGTATATCAACAATGATGTAGAAATTACAAAAAATAAATCAAACAAATTTTGGAGCTGAACAGTATAACTGAATTGAAAAACTCACTAGAGGATTTCAACAGCAATTTGAGCAGAATGAAGATACAATCTACATGTTTAGGGATAAGATATTTTACATCCTTGAGTCTAAGGCAAAAAAAAAAAAAAAAAAAATGAGTAAAGAGATGTGAACAGACCCTAAAGGGCTTATAGGACACCATTAAGCCAAGTAGTATACATGGCATTGGATTCTGAGAAGGAGAAGCATGAGCCTATGGGGGTGGAGAGATTATGTGGTGAAAACAATCATCAAAAAGTTCTCAAATTGGCAGCAGACATGAATATAAATATGTGAACAACTTAATTGGAGTTCAGATAGAGATGCAGGCCCACATCCATTAAAACAAAACTCTAAAAGCTAACAGCAAATAGACTATCTTAAAAGCAGCAGGAGAAACAAAACTCTGTATTATGTACAGAACAATAAATTCTGTTCAAGATGATCAATGGATTTTTTTTATTAGACAATTTGAAGAACATAATAGGTAATACATTTAATGTGGTAAAAATAAAACTGCCAACCAAGAGATCTATATTTGGCAAAAATTATTTTTTTAAATTAGAAAGTTATTAAGACAATGTGAGATAAAAGCTACAAGAGTCCATTGCCGTTATATTTGCTTTGCAAGAAATAGTAAAGGGATTAATTCAGCTTAAAATAAAATAATTTTAGACAGTAACCTGAAACCATATAGAAGTACAAAGCCCTTTAGTAAAGGTATACATATGGCAAAATGTGAAAATATGTAATTTTGAAAGTTTGGTTATATTCTACACTTCTTCAAGATTTAAAATACAAATGTGTACAAGTAAGCATAAATCTGTGTTAACATGTACACAATGTATAAATTTGTAATTCATGAAATCAATAATGTGAAGTGGAAATGAAGCTGTGGAACAAATTTTGTATAGGATTGCAGTTAAATTGGCATTGCTTTCAAAGTAGATTGTTATAGGGTGCTGTATATCATCCCAAGAGTAACTACAAAGAAAATAACTATAGAAAAAATGAAAGAGCAATTGAGAAAGGAATACAAATATTATTAAAAATCATACACAAAAACATTGTTAATTGAGGATATGAGGATATGAAGGACAAAAAGCTAAAGACATAAAAAAATGACAAAGTAATTACAGTCATATATTACTAACATTAGAGATATGTTCTGAAAAATACATGTTTAGGCCTGTGGACACATTGATGTTAGCCCATTTAACCAGATTTTGTAATTCTAGTCTCCAGAACTTCAAGAAAATTAATTTGTGGTGTTTCAAGCCATAATGTTTGTGGTAATTCATTACAGCAGGAACAGAAAACCAACTTGGACGTAATTTCAGCAATTCTCATTCTCTCTCTCCTGCATCACCAATTTTTTTTTTTATCTCTGCTAAGTTCTTCCTAAGAGCACACATGCATGCTGTTTTTGCTGTCATCACAAAAATAACCCCATTTTACTCCATTTTTTTCTTGGGTAGTTGCTCAATTGCCTGGTCCCTTTTACAGCCAATTATTTGAACATGTTCTACACTACGTATCTAATTACTCTCATCCTACACTTTGTTGAATGCACACTATTCTGACTCTTGCCTCCATCGTGCTATCAAAACATTCTTGACTTTGGAAAGGTCAATAGTCAATCCCAATGGTCAATATTGAGACTCCATCTTACTTGTCCTATTAATAGCATTTGACTCTTTTCTTCTTAAAACAATGTCTTCATCTGATTTCTAGGACAGAACAGTCTTTCACTTTCTCTTGTAATTTCATCACCACTCATCAGTCTTCTTTCCTCATACATGCATTCCATCACCAGGTAGGGGCCTGGGAAATGTGATATTTGAAATTGGAAAATTGCCCAACCCAATATAACAATGCTAGCATGTGATCACTTCCCTGTGGTCCTGAGACCAGGCTGACCCAACCAGCTGACACCAATATAGCTGATACCAACACAGAAGTGCTGAAAGGTGGAGCCCCTCATTCTATCTCCATGAAGAAGCAGCATTACCACATCACACTACAGAAGAGCCACAAAGCTATCTGTATTGAACTGAGTGAAGAGGTTCAGCCCCAATATCACTTCCTTAGAGAGCTATGGGACAGTAGTTTTTTTTTTGTTTTGTTTTGTTTTGTTTTTTTTATGGCTCTCAGCTACACTATGGCCTGGAGATAGACAGCAGTGTGCATCTGAACTGAGAGTCACAAGGCCCAAGACAGGGATGTATTAGGGAAACAGATTGTGTTACTGACTACCCAGGTAGTTGATCTAGTGCAGTTTCCTAACTCCCACAGAGACCTTCATGCTTTACAACAGAAGTTTGTCTAGTCACCTCTCTTTGGGCTGGTGCCTGTGCTCATCACTGGGGTATTTGCAGGCAATTAAGCTACTCCAGCTCTGCCCAGCTATGTCTCTGTCACACACTGAACAGGAAGCTCAGGGCACTAATCATTCCACTGTCCATCCCATCACTTGAAACAACAGAAAGTTCCACACAGTAAACAAAGATCAAGTATATACCCATCTGCTTTGGCACAGCTGGCTCTTACCCATAAGTACCATCTACTGGCCTGTGAATTGAACTGTGCAACTCAATGTAAAACCTACCAACAGAAGTGCCATAGGGCTATTGAAGCAAAGCCAAAATACAGTACTCATGATACTCTACAATCACACCCTCAAGGGCGGAGGTATAAAACAAAAATAGAGAAAAGAATTCCATTGGAATGAATGTAAATTCAAAGCCAAGAACTCTCAGCTTCCCCAAATGAGAAAAAAAAATCCAGTACAAGAATTCTTGCACCTTAAAAAATCTGAATGTTTGTTACCATCAAAAAATTACACTAAGTCTCCAGCAATGGACTCTCATCAAAATAAAACTGAGAAATGTCAGTTATAGAATTCAAATTATGGATTATAAGAAAGCTCAATAAGATCCATGAGAAGGTCAAAAACAAACACAAAGAAACTACAAAAGCAATCAAGGGAAGAAAAAAGAGATACCTATTTTGGGAAAAAGCAAAAATTTGAAAACAAAAAATTCACTGAAGGAATTTTAAAATACAGTTTAAAACTTTGAGAGTAGACTAGACCAGCAGAAGAAAGTATTTCATATCTTGAAGACTAGTCTTCCAAATTAATCCAGTCAGAAATTTAAAAAAGAAAATCATTGTTATAAATGAACAAAGCCTTTGAGACATATGGTATTATATAAAGCCACCAAATCTGCGACTAGTAAGCATTTCTAAGGAAGATGAATAGAAGTAAGAA